CCCGACAGCTTAAAGCCATTGATAAATGAATAGCTAGCAGTCTAAAAAGCATAAACTGTTAAACAACAGGAAAACTGACAATGAGTTTTAGCGAATGTTTTAAACATTATAGCTCCAGATAAGAGCTCAAATAATCGCCATTTTGTTACCTTTATAGCCGTTGAATCGTTCCGTTTTACCGAGCGAGTAAACACACAGATGACAATCACTGACGGAGGCCGCCATGATGGATTCAGTGAATCAGGCGTAAGAAGAAAAAAATCGACACAAGCCCAAAGATTGATTATAAACAATGAAAATAATGAAACAGCACATGCATTTGTCATCGACTCTGGAGGAAAAACAAGTGATGTCAATTAAATATACCTTTTAAACTGGCGACTACTGTGTTATAGACGAAGATTGGATAGTAAACTGTGATCATATCTACACAACGAAGTAATTACATGTCCTAATACTTATCAATTAGTGGGGGTATGATGTAACACGTTGACGCCCGGAACCAGCATCATAGATACGCTAGTCACTTGTTGTTCGTGGACGGTACCGTGTGTTCCTAGCAGTACTTAGATAATGTATTAATTGTACCATCTACACATTTCTATAATTGCCACGTGAGATAGAGTATCACCGATATATTTGAGGCTTTACATTAACCATGTGGTACCACAGGGCTCTACCCTATGTAAACCAAGCAGTATTTTAAGAATCTGATTCTAAAAATCCAAACAAATTAGACAAGATTGGCCTGCCGTGTGCATAACGTGGTGGCTTGTCTCGTATAAACAAGCTGGTATTTTCGGTAACATATTGACGATATAAACTTAAAACAGTTCAGTGCGTTTTTATTCGGTTTAGAACATAATCACGGCGCGTTTGATTCAGACAGTGATCTTTGCTAGCCAACAGGTGTTTGGTCTTACATAGCCTATCAACAGGTTCTGTCGGGGTAACAACCCCCTTCCCCTTCCCCCCTCCCCCGATCCCGCGTATCATAAAAAAACACGGAATTCAACATCAAATTTGTCTATACGGTTCCGCACATAGTTCGACACACTGTGCGTTTTACTAAGAGTTATATTTTTTATTCAGCTCCCGTGAAAATTCTCCACTTTGACAACAATGTAACGTTTTCTGTGAATATTTCTCTTTATCGCCTAACGAGACATCCTAGACATAATTTTGGAAGAAGCAAATGATTTAAATTGCTACCTTCTCAAGAACCATGTTTACGAATTATTTCCCTAACACACCAAACAATTGTTAGGTAATTGTTTACAATGCAACCTACAGAGTTTCGATTCTAACGTGAAATCTGCTTTCAGTGAGTGGCGGACATGTTGTAGTGGATGACCTAGTCTAACCTGACGACCGAGTGAACTATATACTCCGGCTCTGATTGGTCAGTTGAGGTTAGTGATAGGTTGCTAAAATAAAACCGGTGCCTGCGACTAAGTTACACGTGTTCCTCACAACAACGACATCATAAAAATGATACCACGAAAATAGTCTCAATAAATGATCTGCTGAACTGCACATGCCGAAGCGGAACATCTTGATGACACAATTCTTCGCGCATCGAAGACTGCAGGAGCCTTGTATCGATGAAGAATGATAAATGAAAAAAGACCCCACATTAACTCATAGGAAACAAATCAATAATTTTAACGGTCTGTTATTCCTACAATCAATGGATATAATAGTAATAAACACTGAACTGTCCTTATGACTTCTGACAATTCAAAGGTGTTTAAGAATGTGCCAAAGTATCAGATCAGATAGATGACTCATTGTAAGAGTACCTCCCTCCCATTTACTAATTTTTTACAAGTAAGTGGATGAAGTTTCAACCTAAAGGTGATGTTGAGAATGGGTGGCTAAATTAGTGTTCTTTAGAAAAAGGGCGAGATAACGAGTTACACGAAACACGAGGAACCGTGAGCATGGGGAAAAGTTACTCTTCTCGTCAAATAATCAGCAAGCTTCATTAAACATTCTGATTGGACGCTTAGATGTGGTACTAGATAAGATTGCGGATTGATAAAAGTTTACAGAATAGTGATTTGTCCCGATCAGGTGTGTCACGCTACAGCCGTCAGCAAATTGATACGCCTAAAGTACTGAGGGACGGGGAGGGGAGAGGGAACATAACACTTATTATATTGGTAATGAAGTGAATTCCAATCAAGGAATGATTTAAATAAGATCAACTCAGCATCCATCTAACTGCAAACCAATGTTAAAGTTATCTTGCTTATTTGATTTTTTTGGCGTTTTTTCATTCAATAACTCCTGAGGAAATGATGTGTCGGTAGGAGGTTCGAGCGTTCCTTTTGGTTCCTCGGGTCTGAACAGTGTGATAACATCGGTCATGATAACGATAGAAGTAACGTTGTGCTATCTAGGGAGAGTTTCATTACCTCCAGCTATTCTGTGTAAACCAAATCCTTCCTCTGTTCGTTTAACAATAATACAGCTATATTTAAACTAGATTAACGCGATAACATTAATTTCTCTTTTAACAGATTTCCACGGCAAAAAATATGAAATTGTCCGTCCGAAAATATCAATCAATGACTTGTAAATGAAATCAGTTTAGGAAACTAAACACGCGAACTCTTTTTACACAAATTGCAGTGGAAAGTGTTTGAAATTGACCAAAAGGGGGAAAAGCTTAAACGCTTTGTGGTTAAATTCAATTTCTTAAATGAGGAGATAAAAAAACATCCGTTCCCGTTATAAACCCCTTCCCATTCTGAAACATGTATCTAATTTTGTGAAATAAATCGTTTATTGAAAGTGGTACCGTCATGTGTTGGTTCCACATAGGTTTGTCACAAAGTGACTGACGTCATATTAACCCCCATCAACCAGCACTCTACAGACAGAAATATGATTTCCATTTTGGGGGATATGTCGAGCTGTTGACACGATGATAGGTTCGCGTACCGCAGTACGACCTCTGCTGATTTTGATTCATAATAAAATGTCTGAAATCACGGGAAGATAAAATACATAAAGAGGTTTAAACCATTCCGGACCAGACCCACTTTGTACATTCGATGTCAACACATACATCAAACACATACATTAACAGTGTTATCTCTTAACACCTCTGAGTATTTCAACAATGTCAATTAGAACTATTACCCTGTACTGTGATGGCAACGAGATAGGTCTGAATCGTGAAGGATAAGACAGCGTGTACAAGGCCCAAGTTTAGCCCCAATCCTGTCCCTATCTCATCTGGCAGACACCCATATACCCATACAGCTCACTGAGATTCACTCCAGATATGTTTCCGGAATAATTGACTCCCGTTCTTAGTAATCATCCGTTTCCGGCATTTAGAATACCAGAATTGGCACCGCGTTAAATAGGTCTGATTTTAAATTAAAATAAAAGATCGTTCTCTACATATCCGTATCTGTTTTTATTTTTAGAAACAAAGCTATATATCGGTAAATATATCCCTTTAAGATTATGTCGCAATTGTAACCAATCTGGAACAGTACATGTTTACACACCAATGTTCAATTTCATTAATATTCGTCTTATTGACGCCATTCATCCACGAAGTAACCTCTAGTTGTAAGTCTTACAAACAATAACTTTGTTACAAACGATGTAGGTATTAAATTAACCCAAACACTTTAATTTGTCTGCATTCAATCAAAATAGAAATCACTTGAGCCCGTGAAGGTAGGGGCTACTAGGGAAAGACAACTGTTTCAAACGTGTCAGCAGATGTAGAGACATGCGCCGCTGATTGTTCCGGTAATTATCGGGGATGTTCTTAGTCCGTCAGATTCTAGAGACAAGACAGACGTGGAGTAAACGATGTGTGTTATTTGCCATAAAAACTGAGTTAGTAGAAAGTGTGTGTATCGTATTGCACACTGGGGGTGTAGCATCCATGAAATTTATCAGGGCGTACTGACCTCCGGTCAAGACACACACGTTCTATTATTTACCGATATACATGGGCACGGAACGCAGCGATAAATTAGTTTGTCAATGGTTTATTACATCGATAACTCATGTATTTATATACTCTATCTTGTATCTATCTTACAGAAATTGCGAATCAAGCTTATATTTATCAATCTTGTTGACCCAGAAGAGGTCTTGCTATGGGAGGAAACCGGAGTACCCGGAGAAAAAAAAGCCCAAGTGGTTGGTTAGGTGACCCTATACCTTTTCACGGAGAATTGAACCCCGGACATCACGGTAAAAGGCGTTACAACTCCGTAAACCGGCCACCAAACACATATAGAAAACAACTTAATTCCGGATATTTTCTGTGTAAATAGCTGTCAGTAGGAAGGCAACGCAATTTACTTTTTTAGCAAATACACAAACCATCAACACTGTCACGTGTTACAGTTCATGATGACCAGCAGAAAGTAAAATATGTATCCTTGTCTCTCACGATAAAATAAATTGATAGTAAGAACACTCGAGTAAAGGAGTCGAACTTAAGTGAGAACATCATCCTCACTTAAACTGACTGTGTGTATCCATCTGTAAGTGAGTAACATTGGCAACTAGGACATACACCAGACCAAGCGTATCTGTAACCCCCGCGGTGTCAGCAAAACCTTACACTTCCCAGGATGCTCGTTATCCAAACACTGACCGCAATAGACTTCTGTTTATCCGTGCACCCTAATCCCCCTTGTGACGTATGGGTCCTGTGGGATTATTGAAAGGCAGCGGGCGTTGGCATCGCTCTTGTTCTGACACCAAGTTCATCAGTAACACCAGCGATCCGTGAGGGATAATTATGCTAATACATAGTAATTACAAGGGTTAATTGCTTACAGAAAACACGAACCTAATGTTTGTGGGTGGCGTACAGGCCAATGATAAAACCCATTACATAACGCTGGTAAGTACAGTCAGCAGCTGTAGCAGACTATATACCTCTGTCGGCATTTCTAGTTTTGTCGTTCCGTAAAATATCACAAATATGTAGAAAAATAAAAGATTATACTTACGTCTGGGGTAAACAATGGGTGCTGGGCCATCTTGTGATGGAACGTCCGGTTGATGAGCCGCGTGCATAGTAGGGGATGTCGTTGTAGTTGTAGTAGTCTGGTCCACAATGGCATTACTTATAGAACTGGAAGGAATAACTCTCAAATTTTCCACAACTTTAGTTAAGTTTCTGACAATCGCTTCGACAGCGCTCAGACCCTCACTCATATTACCCATAGTGTCACTCTGTGTCTGCATGTGTTCCTTCACCTGCCTTAGCGCCAGACTTTCCCGTCGTAACACCTCTTCTGTTTCCTGAACGTCACGAAACAGTCGACTCATTTTTGAGTTCATTTCTTGTAAACTTACTGTGCTATTAATATTTAAGTCATTTATAATAGGTAAACGTTCTACGAATTTCTCCTCTAATGTTTTAATTTTGGAATCTATGACGTCATTGATATCTTTTAATAACTTTTTACATCTGCACGGTCTGATCTTCCTTTTTCGGTGACGGGGTACTGGTACCGTTGAGTACATCGTCACAAACACAGACAGGCACAGCATCCCTTGTAACACTCGCCGTAAATCCATACTGAATATAGTGTTATCCTCTCCTGCTAAAAGCTTTTATCGTCTATTTGGCTCTTTTTCTGTTCTATATGCCACACCTCGCTCCATCACAAAACATCTTTCTTCTGGCGGTCCTCCGCATGGTAAATAATATTTACCTGGAAAATATAAAAACAGTAGTGAAATATAATACTAAATGTAACTAGACCCATCAGACCGTGGGCGATGTAGGGACCCCGTCGAATGTCCATAAGGTCGAGTCGGGTGTCGTGACTCACAGTGACGTCACAGGAAAATAACTGAACCTGTTGGTTATAATGTAAGTAAACAAAACTATTAAATACGCTATATATCCCACTGAAGATCCATTGTAACAGAGATCTTTGATGTCTAGAAACACGCTGATCATCTTGTTATGTGATCGGAGAAGAGTATTATAAGTAACAATCGAACGCACCCGCCCTGATAGCGACCCAGGATACGGCTGATCCTTGCGGAACCTGAGTAAATCGACGTTATCATCACACCTTATTGTTGTTACTTAGACCTGGATCAACATAAATGGCGTCATATGATTCGCAAATGTTCCGGTCATTATGTCCGTCTTTTGTTCAGGGGTTTATAATTTAAGACAGACAAATCACACACAGGGCGAGTTCGAGTGGCTATATGTGGCTACACGAAGAAAACAACATGACGTAAGTTAAGACTAGTGGAAAAAATAGCCGTAATAGAGCATATTTACATCTCGTACTTGACACCAAAATATCACAATGCCTTCGTGTATACAGCTCTTAAATCTATACTTACACGCTCACTGGGGTTACGTCACAATAACACAGTCAAAGTGGTCTGGAATTTGCGAGAAAGAGAAAAAAATATATACGTATCTCTGATGATTAATACAAAATCTTTTAAAAATGAAATATTTGACATTTGGATTTTTAACTTGAATGGGATTGTCTTCTAAGTCACTGACGTTTGATGGATTCGATTTTTTCAGTGAGTGAAGAAATGTACTATTACGTGTGGATAGATGAATGAATGGATGACATTGTTTTGGGTGAGCAATTAAATAGCAATGCTGCCTCACCTGGAGTTTACTTACCTGTTAATTAGTCATTTTAAATGCTACTACATACAACTACTACATACTTAATCAATGGCATGCTCAGACACAACACCCCTGGATATGACTAATTAAAAACTGTCGTATATCAAAGGCTACACTTTACGACTCACGTGGAGCCTGGTAGTATAGAGACGTCAGAATCAAATACGAAAGGTTTAGTTGTGTTGTTTCAGTCCACGAATTCGCTATTTTTTAGACAATTTTTATTATACTGAAGTATTACAGTTGATAGTGTTTGACCAATCGAATGTTTTACTACATAACATATCAAATATAATGTGCACAAAGCCGCCCATTTTTGCGTAACAGTTGTACATATTTGAAATAAAAGTGTTCATTTCGAGTCTTCGGTGCACTCAGTTCTACTATTGCGTACATCTTGTAACATTATCAGGTTTTCATGGGAACCATAGTTCATCAAAGAACACCCTCATTCCAGGGACTCCCTACCCCAACAAAACTCGTTCAGTATATTAGGTGTATGAGCAGCTAAAGGGGGCTTTATTCTCACAAAAAAATAATTCCTGCAATCTCCTATCTGACACAAAGTTCCCTGTCGACCATTAAAGTTACAATATAAGACTACTATCTGCAGTTTTCTGTTTCAATGCTGTGTACACTGTTTGCACATCCTATCTGTACCAGTTCTGAAACCCTGAATTACTTTGTTTTTAGGTATATGATATACCTATCTAATCACATTGCACAGACCTAGGATTCCACATTACAACAGCTACAATCTTGTTCAAAGGAAAACAGTTCTTCGCCGCCATGTTAGTATCAGTTTTATTTATATCTTTTCAAAAACATTTCCTACATTAAGACGATATCATAATGTCGATCGGTTAGTAAACGTCGTAAGTGCTGTGACAAGAGACACCATTAATATGGAGACATGAGACACCATTAATACTGCGACACTTGACACCATTAATACTACGGCACTAAAAACAATTAATACCGCGACACGAGACACCATTAATACTGCGACACGAGACACCATTAATACTGCGACACGAGACACCATTAATACTACGACACGAGACACCATTAGTATTGCGACACGAGACACAATTAATACCGCGACACAAGAAACCATTAGAACTACGACACGAGACACCATTAGAACCACGACACGAGACACCATCAGAACTACGACATGAGACATCATTAGAACTACGACACGAGACACCATTAGAACTACGACATGAGACACCATTAGCACTAAAACACGAGATACCATGAGTACTACTATACGACACAGAAACGGCAGCTTCGGGGTCCCGTACTTTTAGACTCATTAGCCTCTGAAGTGGAGAAGGTATAAAGTGCGTTATGGAGACTCGGAAACAAGTGGTGAGGTCCAGTTACACAGGAGTTATAGGCTGTACAGACGGGTCCCATGGATGTGTGGCACTCGTGATGTCAATAGGCTCCCCGCCGTGACACAGAGTGTGACAAGGCCGATGGGGCTGTACTATCATAAACTGTGGTCATTGGTTTCATCAAACACTTTTAGATATAAGAACCTAAACGACCAATAACGTTTCCTTGATTTAGAATTAAACATCTGTCGAAACAATAACTGTGGGAGTACAAAACGAAGAAGCACAGATGCACGGTGAGCGTGCATGGCCAGTGCGTGTGTCACTACTGCTTCGTTCCCACAGCTCTTCACCGCCAACATAAGGTGGTCAGTCATCAGCACGTGCCAAGTGATCCGTACATCATTACCTCTACCACACACACTGTATACGTCGGACATGCAAGTACCAACTGGTCAAGACATGAACGCTCTGCATGATGTCCAGTTGTCAGACGTGCACGCGCAGTGCACTACCAGTGTCAAGTCTTGGCACGAAACAACAAGAATTTGGTGAAACACGACACAAGGCCGGACACAACATGATTATAAGCGACATATCTTAGTTGTAAGTAAGCAGAACGTGCACGCCTAAATTTTAAACACGTGGCCTGACCCAGGGGAACATCGTACAAGCAACCCCGGAGACGTGGTCGGGGCATTAATATACGGGTTCACTTTCATGTCTGCCAGGTACCCAGGTGACGAAGCTAAATCGCTGTAAGCTAAAATAAAAATAATATGTAACTACGTGAAGTGGGTCTATATGGAGCAAACAATTCAATTTGCGGTTTAGATGAAATGTTCTCGGAGGTAAGCACATCCGTGAACGTTAGAAATACATACGTAATACGAATTTTATCCGGTTGCCGGACCGGCGGTCGTTTTTTTTCGTCAGCTGTTTAGTCGGTGCTACCAATCTCCTGCCATTAATCGACTGGTTCAAGAAGTGCCAGATTTGGTACAGTGTGCCGACTTTTCGTAGGTTTAAACCGTCCGACTAGAATGGTCCCGCTTCCACACCATCTAAAGATGTGTTTATACCATCAGTGTGCAAATTATTTAAACTGTTGTGTATGAATCATACACACAATGAAATGATGAGCCACCTTCCTCAACAGCCTCCGAGCGTATATATTCCGTACGTATGGAAAACCCATTAGGAAAAATAGTAAACGCGATTGGTGTGAATCATAGGGATAGATCAAAACAGAAGCGGCCTGTAAACAAACGATGACTAAACCAATCGGAGAAATTAAAACCTAATTCATTAGTGTTTATATATAGGTCTACTGGGGTTTGATTTGTAATCAATAGAAAGTCTACCAGCCGCTGCGCTAACCTCGCTCACACGCTGGGTGAGACGAGCATTTCAAATTGTCTCTGTTCTTTCTGGCGCTTGTAAAAAGTTGCTGCTAGTCGCATATTTATCAGTTATGTAACGAAGTTCTTTTTTTGTTAAAACATCACCTTAATGGGAAATATGCTTGTTTGGGGTATACTTTTATTGGCGAGAGGAAAGTTCTAAATTACGAGACGAGCGCCGGACACGATAATCCGACACGGTATTGTGTTATTACACGTGTCAAGAGATGAGTGCGCCCTGACGCCTATGGTTTATGTGTCGAGTGGGGTCAGGATTTATGACAATTGGTTAAATGTCTGGGAGGCATCAAATACACAAATTACCGTAATAAATTGGCAAAGTCATGTAGACTTCAGTTAGTCTCATATTACAGTTATATAACTGGTGAACAACACAGAATTTGACGCATTAATACATATAGGTAGGGCACCTTTCGTATCACAGCTCCACAATTTGTCAGTGTAGACAAAGCGGGAAAAATAACAACACTTTGAAACCTGTGTGTTTTGGTTATGGTAAAAAATATTCTATTCGCACATAAGAGAGCCGTTGAAATACTTTTGTACATCGTTATAGTGTAACTACACAACATATACCGTATTATATCTAAAACATATACCGTATTATATCTATAACGTACCGTATTATATTTATAACATATATCGTATTATATCTATAACATATAACTATTATATCTATAACATACCGTATTATATCTATAACACGTACCATATTATATCTATAACATATAACTATTATATCTATAACATACCGTATTATATCTATAACATGTACCGTATTATATTAATAACATGTACCGTATTATATCTATAACATGTACCGTATTATATCTATAACACGTACCGTATTATATCTATAACATATACCGTATTATATCTATAACATACCGTATTATATCTATAACATATACCGTATTATATCTATAACATGTACCGTATTATATTTATAACATTTACCGTATTATATCTATAACATGTGCCGTGTTATATCTATAACATATAACTATTATATCTAAAGAATTAGACAACTATCTAGTAGACGTACTCAGTAAAATGATGAAAATGACGAGAATTTCAATCTGTCAACAGCCTGCCGTATGCATAATGCACGACAGCAGACAGACTGAAGTGCCTCTGACAGACAAGGCTCAACTTTGCAGACTCGGCAGAATCGATCATACACCAAGACAATTAACATCAGCTACTACTATAACAGTACTGAATATTTCAATGTGACCTTCAGGTTCGTCTCTAATTAACTGTGTAATCAATTGGTTGTCAAAGTCCTCGGCCTCACTAAGTGGGTAATATTAGGAAAGATAAATCTAGATATTGTAACTAACATGACAGTGATCTACAACAGATTCACACACAAGACAAGCTATATCTCTCCTGTAATGGCTTAGCACCATTACAAACTAAATATTTAGTGTAAATATGTAATCGAACAGTCAGCTATATATATATATATATATATAAATGTATATAAAACTTCAATAAAATTTAAAAAAAAAAAAAAAACATCAACGCGGACTTAGAGTGCGAGGTATCAGTGATATGTAAAATTGTAAATGATTACATATTGGACAAGTTTATCTTTTGACTGCTGTCTTAACTTCTGTTTTCCATCAGCAATATGCTTACACAACTATAACATATATTGTCTGATATATATCTCTAAACTATGCTCGGTATCGTTCCGGAATTCTTGTCCGTCTACGATTCCTTATATTAGTGTTGGTCAGGTAAGCGCCAACCTGATAAGAGTGTATATTGCCAGTTCCCTAAGGTTCCGTTAGTTCAAAGGTTGTGTCTGCTGTTGTCACTCAATACACGTGTAATTGATTACAGTTGTTCGTGTATACAACCTGCACGTGTTTGGACTCAAGGTTGTAAAACATAGTTCAGAAATTATTTGCTATATATTGTTATATTTAAAATGATAAACAGAGCGATCCAATCGTCAGTGATGTTCCGCACATGCTTCACTTGTTGGCGATATATTTGTAGGAACCTGTCATAGAATCATATCCAAACAAACTCGTGATAGTGTTACATGTAGGAAGATTTGATAATGATGTTTTAAAGTACAAACAGCGTCCTTGACGCACTGTGCTAGATTCGCTCAATCAAACTAGTCAGAACAACTGTACTTGATACTGATGAAAATTAATGTAGTAACAAGTAGTGATATAGATACAATGTTCATTTAAAATCAAATTGTACAACAGTTACTAGGGAGATCTCTTGATCCTGTCGCCACGAAACTTAGTTCAAAAGTCCTCTACTGATTAAATAACAGTCTACCACGAGAACAAATATCACTTCACACATTTGTAGTGTTCTAGGTTATCCCCGTACTCCACACTTTTGTAGTCTTCCAATTCATCCCCGTACTCCACACTTTTGTACTGTTCCAGGTTATCCCTGTACTCCACACTTTTGTAGTTTTCGAGGTTATCCCCGTACTCCACACTTTTGTAGTGTTCTAGGTTATCCCTGTACTTCACAATATTGTAGTGTTCTAGGTTATTCCCGTACTCCACACTTTTGTAGTGTTCCAGTTTATCCCTGTACACCACACTTTTGTAGTGTTCTAGGTTATCCCTGTACTCCACACTTCTGTAGTGTTCCAGTTTATCCCTGTACACCACACTTTTGTAGTGTTCTAGTTTATCCCTGTACTCCACACTTTTGTAGTGTTCCAGGTTTTCCCTGTACACCACACTTTTGTAGTGTTCAAGGTTATCCCTGTACTCCACACTTTTGTAGCGTTCCAGGTTATCCGTGTATGCGTTCCCGGCTTGACTCGTTTATTCTAAGTTTGACGGTATTACAAGCATTCCGATCATCGCCAATTTCTATGATAAAGCATGCGTCTAGATAGTGAAGGTTCCAACGCCGTATCACCCCAAACATCACTTAATATTGGATAATATCGTGATTTATCACATATGTGAGTGCACTTTCCTCGGAAAGCTGGCACGTTTTCTATGTATGTACCGATTGGGACCTTACATCGTTAGAGTAACGACAGTAGGCGTCCCTAAAGTGCTGATCGGTCCGACTTAACAATAACATTTCTTAATAACACTTTTCTGAAATCTATATGCCATTGTGTGTTATCCGATAGGTTTGGGAAATGTTTCTATATTTATTAAACACGTAGGAAGAACAAAATATATGATATCGACCTAACAGTGAAACTCTGTATTAGCGTCCCTATAACTGTACGAATTTAACTCCACAATATGTACAATAGGGGGGTGTTGAGCCATTATTTTGAGTCATATATATTTTTAAGGGTTTGACATCTGCATGTTTACGCGGACTGTTTGTTGGAAACTTTCAAATAAAAAGCTATATATACTTGTACATGTAACTTCATAACAGATCTCAAAGGAACACGAAAGTTTCAAAGGAAACTTACAAAGCGACGTAAAAAATGACTTTCTTTATATCATTGTTTTCTGTATACAATCTTAAATCGTTGTTTCCCGAACAGGTGGATTATTAAGCTTGCGTGTTACATACCCATATCACGAAACAGATTTATCAAGAGTAACGTTGTAAAATTAAATACATTTTTATTTAAAGTATATACGAGTGAACGTTAATAGAATAAAAAATCGCCATTGTTTACAACTGCTCAATAGATGTTTATCACGAAACCAACAATACATCAAAAATCTAGATTTTAGAAAATGTTTAGTAAATTCAATGTTTTTAAATTAAAGAAATTTACGTTTGATAGAAATGTTCCTACAATAACGTAGGTAGGGGTTCCTAGTGGTCGTGAATGGATATGATGTTCGTCTATAACCTGACAGGATTTTGGGTTTTTTCTCACACTCACGAAATGGTGGCATGTTTTTATTGCTTATTTTTGCTTGTTAAAAATTACGCTAGATATGAAACATTATTCGTCACAATAAGTCACACGCAACCCACTGATTAATGGCAAAGAAGACGATTAATTTGGTCTCAAGAATGTCTTTATAGGTGATGATATATAGCGAACCCGTGACAAAATATACACGTATTATTGATATTAATTATCTCTTGGATCAATGTTGATTAAATAAAGAACAATAAATATTTCACTGAAATTTATTATACTCGCACTGCGTGTTCATGACACGTTCTTGATCCGCTTGGATTAACACTAAGCAAATTCCATCCTAGATTAATAATTATTCGTGGCGTGAAAGTGTAATTTGTAATTAATCGCTTTGTTACTTGATTGTTGTATGCATCGAACATTATGTTAACACAAAGACTGCTGTGCATTTAACACGTTGTGGCAATAAATAACGGCAAGATCTCCAGTCTACAGAACACCGATCTAGGCTCACGAAGTTAGGAATGCGTTCACGTTAATATGACGTAAAATAAATAACACATTTATCTGATAATCCCACATATCTCAGGCAGGTACCGAGCAGATAATCTGCGATAATCCATTGAACTATGTACTTAATCTCTCCTCCTACCCGAGACAGCTTTCTGTGTCGCACCCAAAGTATTCTGTTTCAGAAGTTCCTCCAGGTATCGGATAAATCGGAGCTGTTTTACGTCTTAAAACGTTTGATAAGTTTGAGGTCAGAGACAAGTATCAATTAATTTTTGCAATAATGGAAAATCTAAATTATAATTCTAAGAAAAACGACATTTAAAGCAAAAATATCAAAAAGTTTGTAATTGTAAATAAGAAACTCATTCATGCCATTTTGATTGGTGTTATTGTGTATAAATACCAACACAGATAGTCTATCTTTCTTTACTTACCTTTCTAGTCCATTCTCAGAAACACGATAAACACCGATATTTTGCTACAACCACAAATTGTGTGAGAAAATCCAAGTAATATCCCAGAGAAACTGTATCCACTTAAATAGACCACATCACACGGAAACGACGCACGGACAATATCCTGGTAAACTTTCCGGCGTTCTTATTTTATAAGGAGTGTATGTATTAGCACGGTGCGTTCGACCAGCTATCCCGCCACTACACGCGCTGTAACTGACAGTGCAGAGAGGCTGTGCTGTGTCTATCATGGGCTGACAGTCCATTGGCAGACAAGTCTACTACATACCCCCTCTACTAGAGTTCAAATTACGACCCCTTCCACTTACTCCCTACCAACCCGGACAACGTAGCGTCAGGAGCTAGTCCTTACACTATTTAATTGGAGCAAAAAGAGAAAAATAACTGAAATTTAGCAGAAATTTCGTTAAGAAGTTTGAACGTATGTCGGCCAGCCGTTAAGATTAAAACTTTTACGTGATTTAGTAACTAAAGTTATGCTCGGAAACCTATTATCAAATATCAAATTTTTCATGCAGGTTGATTTTTCATTTGAGTTATCGCTATATATATGTCAATTTCACTGAAACAGTGTATCATTATGAAATGTCCAATTTACTTGAAAATCTTGACTGCAAGTTGATTTTAGAAATAAATCAATGCGATCGACCCGTTACTAATTCACGGTGGTCTGTTTTTTCTCGTTGCAGCATTAAATAGAGGGCTCATGTATTTTTCGCAGTCAAACCAATATGATATGACAATGTTACACATGTATAATTTTCTTTAAATAAATGTTGTTTGTATATTTATTGGTAAATAAATACGGTTTGTATTTAAATGGGAAATAATTTTAATAGTCAATAAATTCGGTGTTCAGTTTAATGAGAAATACATGTGGCTTGAAGTTGTGTCGTTTTTATTTTTTGTTATGTGTCGTTTTAATTGGTAAATTATGGCGATGTGTCATTTTTGCTGAGTGATCACAGGTCGTAATTACTGTGTGAAATTTAACTGTAACTGTAGACTTATAATTTACACCTACATTGTATAACACTTGTATCAGCTGTTCAGATCACTTTAAACTTCCTATTTCTTTGATGAAAATAGAGATTTTAAGTTACCTGATTACGGATATGAATATAAAAAAAATTACCCAGAGAATCTGTGTAGCCTCTATATCTTGTGAAGTAACCGGGGAACAAATAATGATACTATCTAGCCAAAAATCGTGTCGTTTTACGTACGTCATACTTCGATTTGGTTCAAATAAAAAATGATACATATAGTTTTGATAACACATGTTTTCTATGATTCTGACATAGACAGAAATAAGTAAGGTGCTTACCTTGAAAATCGTTCGTAGTGAAATCGGCAGAAAAGTCCACACTATTTACAATACCATGCGGTATATCGTCTCCTTACACCACAACGTGTGTGTGACTGAATCCGGGTAGCATATGTATAAACAAACACATATATACAAGTACCTGTCAGCTAGTTACACCTGTAGATCAATTACATAATAGTTGTCCACACAGCGTCAGGGTTGTGAATGGTCCCGATTCCTGGTATACATATGTGTGCTGGGAATGTACTATCGCTATTTATTTACGAGCGACCCTCCCCCGATACCCGCCCTGGTAGATGTTTAAATGCCAGCTCGTTGGCCTTATCACTGCCTATTATCGGGTCTTTTGTTAACTAGTGATTGACACCTGGATTTATAGAGTGTACGGTTAGGGAGTTGACGCGGACCCACGGTCGTGGAATATAGAGGGGCCGGTGTCAGTGATACTAACACGATAACGTAATTCTGGCCATTTATTACACCCTGCTAATGTTTATCTCAACGATTTATCTCGATAAACCTTAAGAAATTAGGAGGATAATTACGACCTGGATAATTATATCTCCTGGTCTAGAGAGTAGTAACTGCCAGGTACACAATCTATATAACACGGAATGTATAGGTAATATAGATATAATACCGTGTCATAATTAATTAATCAATTAATGACATTTTAATACAGGTACTTTATAATACTTTTGGTATAGAATTAATGGACGGATTTTGAATCATTACGGAAACAAAGCATAACCGGTTGGATTTATCATACGGACTTAAATAAGAAAAACATTTATTACAAACTGTGTTTTTTTCAGTCCTCTGAAAAGTCCACGATGGAAAACTTCATATGATAAAAAATACAGCATGTAATCTGTGGAATGTTAATTTATTGTGGGTCCGTGGTAATGATTTCTGGGTGATAAGATCACACACCGGGTACAGTTACGTCGATCTTTGTCATGTTAAGGAAGCTTGACTCGTGATTTAAGTCCTATATTTCCAAAATGAGTAAATAATTGTATGCATGAAATTTTTAGGGGTACAGTAGAAGTATTATCCGATACAGCGAGGTTTCTGCTGTGCTACAGTGTGTACTTTATATATAGCCCTTCATGCAGGGAGTTTGATTACAGTGTCTAGGTGTACAATGATATTCATATTCTGTTTTCATAATCCTGGAAAAAAATAGCTTGAATTAATATGAAATCATCTGAACATTTAAAAACGGATTGTTTTGGCATAAATGTATTAACAATACAAAACTCGATATCTGATATCATTAGGTTAACACTGACAGGCATGATAAGGTGCTGCTAAGTAGAAATGCTGTAACGATTTGTACTCAAATTCAGCAGTGTAATAAACTCGAAACATGATTGCCTCGCAGTCTAATTCCTGATTACGAGAGAACGTTTCTTATCTATAACAAAAGACATGCAAACTAAGTTCCTAAATAATGCATCAAATATTACTATCACTTTACATTAACCCAAAGCGGAGTTCATTTCTCATTAAATCAGAAATGAGAACGACTATCATTTATGAGATTAATGTACGTATTCGCATCTAGGTAGACATTTGTTTCATTCGGAACCTGGCTGGTTGATGACAGAAGAGAAGGCTTGTGTTTTGGAAATATTGGTGACACTGAGAAGACTAAACGGTTTTCTGGGAAAGTGTGGACCACAAGAAACGGTAGAAGGAGCAAACGTAAGTGGTCAGCTGACTCTGGACACTATAGATCCACCAGAATGAAGTCTTCATTTACAGGGGTTGACAAATCTAAGTACCAGATCCGACAAAAATGGGAAATTGGCAAACTTATGTTAGAATGAATCTCTGTGTGATACTTCGTATTGAGTGTTTTTATCAAGAACCTTTTGTCTCTCTTGTACTTAATTATGTGAGTGACGTAATAAAAATATTAAAAACAAAGAAACAAAAATTAAGCACCAGATAGTATTATTGTTGTAAGGTAGAAAATCACAGGGCAAGACCCCTTAAATACCTTGGGTCCTCATGTCAACAAATTCATAAAAGGACAAAACCGCGGTGGGAACTGTTTAAAGACAGACAGCAGGCAGGTTCTATTGTCAGCAATCTGGCCGTGGTGACAAAAATTGGGTGGCATTCACCGAGACAGAAAGATAAAAGGCTGATAAAGTCGTAATATATGGCAAAAACATTTTGTTTTTTCCATTCCTACATATTTTCAACCACTGATATAAAAGCATTGGGTCAAATTCAAAGATTGCAAATTAGACAATTCTTCTCCATTAATTGTTATAGACATTCCAATCGCATACGATCCTTTGTAAATTCAATTTAAACTAATCGCACGAGGTAGACTGGCCCATTGTCGTAATCACTGATGTGTTTGCACTTATACAAATCATAATGGGACGGCTGTTTTAATTGGAACTAGTTTATGAAAATAACTACATCAGTTTTATTTTTTAACCCTATTATTTTTTTCGCAGCAGTTCGTGTTACGTCTATTTTCCAATTGTTTTATAAGAAGAATCAAGTGCTACTTAAAATCATTTTACCTACCATAATTATGAAGATTATATACTCTTTGGAATGAGCCTGAGATAAGTTCACATACACTTAATTCTTGTCGTGACAAACCAAATATTCACGGTCAAGTGTCCACGAACTCAAATTGCTAATCGTAAAATTGCTTACTTAATCACCGGAAAATTGACATCTTTTGCTTTCTTCACTTTGTCATATAGGCCTATTGTAAACCACTAAATGGTTCTTCTTTAAAACCAGACACCTGCCTATGGTAACTTTATAGCACAGCACGACACCGTTTACACTACTTGGAAACAATAAGGTTGGCGACCTCGAAAATGAAAGTAGTTTTCAGGGAGGTAGATAAAAATTCCTTTCAACAGTGTATAATATTCATGAGTTGCTATCTTTTTAAAGAAACAGAAAATTCCAAAATGAATAAAAATGTTATATGTTATAGATAAGTGTTTTACAGACCCTAAGGGTTATATCTAGACGCTACAGTAAAGGTGTTTCTATATGTATAAGATATAGGTATCAGTCGGTGGTTTCGTTTTGTATCCCTCTTTTTCTGGATGACGTGTTTAATCATTACAGAAAAGTATATTATATCATTACGTTGAAAGACATTGTTCATGGTACATCAGTGTTCTTATTTAAGAGAAAAGTTGTTTTTGTATAAATTCTGAGAAAATCCAAATGTCTTGCAAATAGGGAAAAATATTATTATTTCGTTGAAACTCGTACCGTATGAGAACAGATGTTATCGACAACATTGTTTTGCAATCCAATACAAGGTTAATATTGCCTCATAGTGCTGTGAATGTAAGACGTGTAGCATGAAATGCATTTTTTCTATTGTTTTTAAAGAGGTTTGACTACTTTGTAAACTCTGTAGGAACATGAAGTTACAGAATTTTTATGATATAAGGTTGGAATGCAATGTTGTGAGTGTTAGCAGGTCATGGCTATACCATGTTCTCACAAGGAATGCTTCTCGTTAACGTCTGTCCCTATAAATAAAACATAGGGGCTAGCACCTCACATTGCCAATTTATCGAAATATAGCAGATAAGAAATAAATAACATTATTAATAGTAGATGATATCACAAATTGGCTCGATTTTGGCAAAACTGACCGCAAATATTTTCAAACTACCAGAAGTTGACCGCCGTTCCCATGGGAAACCGACAGATTCCGATCTTTACGTTACGTTTGACTTAAAACAATAGGAATTAACTCCCAGTGAAAAGGTCTTATTTCGGTTGTTACGAAATCCAGTACTTATTCTTGCCGTGTTGGTTT